TATATATATACACACACACACACACAGTATATATATATATACACACAGTATATACAGTATATATATATACACACAGATATATATATATATATATAGATATATATACACATACACACTATATATATTACACTATTACACACACCATTATATAGTTTTATAGCTATATAACTACATAACAGTATTATACAATTTTTTTCAGTAATTATACTATATATATGTGTGTGTGTGTGTGTAAAAAGTAATTATACTATGTACAAAAATATTACAAATATTTTTTTTTAATTTATATATTTTTATTTTTACAGTTTTTTTTTTTTAAAGAAAATATTGCACAAAGCAATCTACTTTTAAAAAATCCTTCATGATATAGGCATCCAGCATCTGTCTAAAAAGGATGATGCTGAATTAAGAAAAATGCAAATATTGGCTCATCCCATTATGGTCACTGGCATATTGTGCATTTATACTATTTACTTATGCATGTATATGTACATGTGTGCCCTCACCTCTCTCCTTCTATCGCTGTTGTCCCGGTGGAGATGCCATTTAATGGCAGCGTGGGGTGATCTGGCCTGGCACTCCAAAAACGTGCTGCTGCCCTCCACCCCATACTGCACCGTCTCCAGAGTGTTCTTATTAGCTGGACAACAAGAACAACACGTCATTTCTCATTGACATTAACACAGCACTTGAGCGAGAATGAGAGCTGGCCATGAACTATTAGAGCACAGCCAGTAGAGCGAAAGTCATGTCAGTCAAACTACAGTAATGTAAATAAACTTAACACTACAAAAATTCAGATCAGAGCAGAATGAGGCTTTCTGCTAACAGCTCATTATGGTTGTACAAAGAAAGCATGACTGTATTTTACACATATGCTTAATTTCTATAAACAAATTTGACAAAGCAAATAAAACTTGATAAATGTGTCATGATATGAAAACAAGTATTAGCTGTGAATGATTTATCAATGAATTAATTGTGCATACAACGGACATATTTACTTTAGAAGTGAAAAAAACAAAAAATCAAAACAGACAGGACTAAACATATTTATTATGTATAATGTCAATAAGTAGATGTATTTACAAATATTAATTGTAGTAAAGTTAGACTAGTAGCTTACTGTTGGAATTGTATCCTCGGCACTGCCGTATGGGATTTCCGTATTTCACATCCTGTCGCCGACTGCGTCTGAAAGGAAGCCAATATGACAAAATAAGAAATTAATTTCCACCTATATCTGACAAAGTATGAAAATACTTCCAATACTTATTCCAATTCTCAGTTTCAACAAACACCATTTTTAGGGGTTTTTCAACTTAAACAATGTTGTACTGTGTACTACTTGAGTAAATCACGCTGTGCATACAGCAGCCACACTAAAAATATGATGGTCGGTCAGGATGAACACTGGCAGCCTGAACACATAATATATACGGTACGTGTAAAGTTCAGTAGAGGAAGAAAGTTCAATATGTCTCTCTGGGATTTCATCTTTTTTTTTTTTTTTACAATTTTTGGTAAAAAATACCTTCCTGTTTCAGAATAAGAAAACTCACCCTTCACTAAATAGGATCCATACGGAAACCTGCTTGTCTCAACACTTTGGGATAAATTAAAATGAATGCATTTAGCAGACGCTTTTAAATTAAAACTGTGATCCGCCCTGAAATTGCCCAACGTGACTAAAGATCTTCAGTTGCAACATCTAATGAACAACATTTCCAGAAATTAGGAGGCTGTGACTGTAAATGAGGATAGAATCCTCATGAACGCACATGACTTGAATGTGATCTTTGATGTGTAGGAGTTTTGGAATTATTTTTGTTTTATTGAGGTTTTGGATCTTATTAATGTTCATTTCATTATTTCCCATCAGTGTTTCTTAAATTTTAAGAAAATTATTAAGAAATGATGGCTAGAGAGAGATGGGGAACTGGATTCAGATCTGCATTTCTCTCGGTCTAGAAAATACGGACTAACCACTAGTCTATTGCTCTGACACCACAGTTTAAAACTAAATGTGATCACACTGTACATAGCTGAAAGTGGTATGTATAAACATGCTGACTAACAAGTGATGACACACTCCTGTGTAAATGTCATTTGGTTCTGAAGTGCTTTGGCATATTCACCTCTTCTGTGAGGCAGAGTACCGAGAGCAGGACTTGCCGTCCCACGCACAATAAGGGTCCCGGGCCAAACAGCAGTCTGCGCAGGCCTCGCCATAGACGTCACACCTGTGCAGGGCCAGATGAGTCACACCAACCGCTGACGCTACATATAGTTGTTGCTGCAGCAAAACAAAAACATATTGTTATGCAGAGTGGCAGTCTTTTTTATTCTCCCTTTAGAAATATAATTTGATCCTAAAACTTCAAGGTACATTTTCTACCTTCAAACCACTTTGGAAAGAAGAAAACCCAACTGTCCCAGCTCTTATGTGATGAATTAAAGATGCAGACAGGTCTGTGCAGGTTTTGAACTGCAAATGTAAGCCTGTTCTGATAATGGACCTTTTTTTTTTTTTTCCTCCAGCGTTTAAAAACTTGACATTTCTGTTTTTAGGATCAGCTGTTTTAAATCAGCTCTTCTGGGAGAACTAGGGTTTAAATTACAGGCCAGAAATGATCCACATCTGCCAACAATCCCAATCATGATGAAAGAATAAAACACAATGAATGAACATTTTATCTTCATACATCTGTAAAATTGTTATCCCCATATGAAAGTGGCTTAAGGATTACAGAGACAGATAGCAGCTGCACGTCTAGCTTAAGTGGGGTTATTGTTATCCTCTTCATGGGTTAGGCTATTCCTCCAGTATTTTATATAAAACATCAATGTTTGTGAACCGTGTTATCAGGTTTAGTGTACAGCAAATTCTTACCCGTTTTGAAGAAATCTTCATAGTTGTGATGGAAGTAGGGACCTGAGAGTGAAAGATTCAACTTTATTATTCTGCATGACTCCTAAATAAAAAGCTTTTGTTTCTTAGGCAGCAAATCGTCATATTGGAATAATTTCTAAAGGATCGCGTTACACTGAATTCTGGAGTAATGATGCTGAAAATTCCGCTTTGCATCACAGGAATACATTTCATTTCAAAATATATTGAAACAGAAAAGAGTTATTTTAAATTGTAATAATATTTAACAATATTCACGTTTTTGATCAAATAAATGCGGCCTTGGTAAGCATAAAATACTTCTTTAAAAAACAAAAATATAACTGATATAATAAAGTCAAGTAAATTAAACAGAAATGCAATGCACTAAACCAGCATAGCTCTGAGACAATGGTCAAATATATAATTTTGTGGTCAGTACTCAAAAATATTTGCCCATATACAATTCTCACATTTGGCCAATCAGAATCAAGTATTCCAAAGAGCATGTCATATTAAGAAGTTTGTGTGCAACAGGAGACCCAGGGTGCAGATCTCACCTGAAAGACCTCCACTTCCTCCAGCACTAGTTCCTCTGTCTGCAGGTCATCTCTGGGCAGGACGATCACCTTCTGTACTGTACCTCTGTCTGTAGACCAATAGAAAGACAGTCAGATTATTCACTGAGCCAACCACAATAATTAAACTGGCTCGTTCCAAGTGCACTTCCATCTTACAAGAGTCACAAACATTCAAAGCACCATGATATTCCTTTGACAACTTTCTGTCTATTCCACTTTCGTCTTTGCATCTTATGTCCTGATAAAATCTTGATTATTATCTTTCACGGAGTACTGAAACACTCGAGTTACTCTTTCTTTCCGTCCCATCGACCATGTAGACCCTTCACGTTTTCCATACACCATCACTTCCTTTATAAAATCCCTCTTTTGTTTTCACGGTATACTTATCTTTCAGCTCGGCTGTACTTTGTCAGGCTCTGTGTCTCTACTGAAAAACGGACGTATTTCAATGGCTGTGTCTGACCAAAATACTAGCTGGATTTAAGCGTGCCCGTTGCATTCCTCTGTGCACGTCACCAGAGATTTATTGCAACCGGAGCAATACATCTAACCTGAGCTTTGAATGCAAGCGAGCGACTGCCGCTGAAAGCCAGGGACGTTCCTGTGAGTGCTTGTAGGCGCAATGGGCCACGCAGTGTTGATTTAAAAACCCATTAGCCTCTCAGCCTCACAAAGCAAGATAAGCAGACATAAAGTCATAACCTACAGCATGACAAGACCAAAAGAATGATGTCACTCTGACTCTTTAAGGTTAAAAGAAAGTTTGAAACGGAGACGAGAGTTAGGCAGATCAGCTGTTCTAGGTTGATGGATTCTTGTAACGTGACCCTGCAGCCTTAAGGTGCTGCATTCACAGTTTTTATATCAAGAACAGAAAGATGGAAACACAAAACATCCATCTAAGTACAGTCAGATGCTTTCACCTCCTCTTATAAATGTACAGTACACTGAGAAGGAATGAAACTGACCATTTTTTCCCCTTTATCCTGCAGCAGTTTCAGTGTCTCGATAATCGTCTAGCAAGTTTTTGTTATAACTTAAAAACTTGAAAAAAATAAAATAATGTATTCCTTTTTTGAGACATGGTATATTATAAAAGTTAAAACCTTTACATACTATCTGCATTAATCATAAAAATGCCATTAGATAGCAACAACACTAGATTGCATGGAGAAATTTAACGTTGTTAAACATTTTTCAATGACAACAGTTAGAGCATTAACCCTATTTTGGCACCCCCCAACAGCATTTTCAGTGTCTCGATAATCGTCTAGCAAGTTTTTGTTATAACTTAAAAACTTGAAAAAAAAAAAAAAATGTATTCCTTTTTTGAGACATGGTATATTATAAAAGTTAAAACCTTTACATACCATCTGCATTAATCATAAAAATGCCATTAGATAGCAACAACACTAGATTGCATGGAGAAATTTAACGTTGTTAAACATTTTTCAATGACAACAGTTAGAGCATTAACCCTATTTTGGCACCCCCCAAAATACTAAATCTAAAATTAAAACTAACAATAAATATCAACATTTATTTTTATATGACTATAAAAAAGGTTTGAATTCAAATGAAAACTCAACTAAACTGAAAAGACAAATTGAAAATAATATAAATAAAAACCTGAAATAAAAACTAAATTAAAAATAAACTACAATAACCCTGTGCTATACAATATATCTTATTTGAAGTTGTTTATATTTAATTGTGCATATTATATTGCACATAACAAAGAAAAACATTCTGAATATGGAAAAATCAGGCTAGTTTCCAAACTCACCTGTACCCAGGAAGAGCACTTCGTAGTTGCCGTCGGCTGCAGTCACCTGGTCCACAGTGATGGTGGTGAACTCATAGTCTACGTTGTTCCTGACCACCAGGGGGCGCTTGTGCACCGGATACACAGTATTGTACATGGTGGGATGGTTCCGCATGAAGTTGATGACCTCGTCAGGATAGTCTTTCGTGGACTTCATGTTGGGGGTGAAAGTCCCACCAGGACACTAGCAAAAATGGGGTGAAGGGGACCAACCTTAGCCAATGAGATCTCTGTATTCTCCTAATACAGTAGCACTAAAGGCTGACTTCCAAATGGTTAGATCTAAAGGCTAAACCCCACTTACAATTTGTGCTTTCAGCTTGGTTTTAACCTTCAACAGCAGGTCTAGATTAATATTTCTATACCAGTGTGCCAATAATTCATCTCATTTTTGGTATTTGGTTCATAAGAGGGTTAAACTCACTGTTCCTGGACGAGGGTAGGGGATTTTTCCAGTGTAGGCCACCCACTGATAATTGGGACCTTCTTTGTGAGCAAAAGGTCCATTGAACACCATCCGAATGTCCGCCATTGAGTAGACGCAGACCGCTGAGCCTTTGAATACAGAGCTGGGGGGAAAATATGACCGTTTTTGTTATGAAGTTCATATATAGAACTATTAATATATAAAGTGTTTAAAAGTGTACATGTGGAAAAACAGATGCAAATGCAGTGGACAACTGCCCATGCTAAACAACCCCTTCCAGTATTTCCTACAGTTTCCAAATGGAGGAAGATATAGACATATTCAAACTCACCCAGACACAGAGAAGACCCCATAGATGACGGGATTTTTAGTGTCCTGCGTAGGCTGTATGTACACATCCCCTAAAAGACACAAACACAGAACAACATTGCAATGAAAAGGCTGGAGAACAGTTTGCTAATATTTGCAGTGCATAAATCAAGCGCATTTACTGAATCTTGGGACAAACTTCCTGTGACTCAGAGTTTCTCACTGCATTTCACTCACCATCTCTGAAGTAATGAGAATTTTTTTTTTCAACTAATACTTCTATTTTATTTTACATCAGTTTTCAATTAACGGTAAACTGGACAGTAAATAATGTGAAGGAGACAATCAATGTCCAAAGAAAAGACATTGCATGTCATCACTATTATGAAACTTGCGGAGTTGGCTTGCATAAACACTTATGTGTGCATATGTGTGTTTGTGTGTGTAAGGGAGAAAGTGTGTGTGTTTAAGAACCGCTGAAGTGCTCCTCAGGGAGAACTCACAGGATGAGGATAGCAAAGCATATGGTTCCTATTGCCTCACACACGTATCCTGCCAACCGTTATACAGTATCTGAGTGTAGCTGTATGTATAGCGCAGGTAATGCATCATGTGCATATGGATCAAAGATATTGGCTTATAAGACAACCAAAAATTCATTCATAACTCATTCACAGTGCTAGAAACTCATGATCTTATAAACGAAAAATTCACTTTGGTATATTGGTTAATGCACATTTTCCAGACACATTGAGGAGCTCATGTTGGATATACAGGTTCAAATTCAGCCTGCAACATGTCCCATCCCCTTAGTTTTCTTATGCTTTCTACTAATATCACTTTGAAGACTCTCTCTCTCTCTCTTGCCCGTGCCAACCTGAGGCAAATTTCCTCCCCTTTTCTCCTAAAAAACAGGACAAATGCAGTTAATGGCATATATCTAAAGATCAACAACAGGGATGAACACATACTTTTAAAATGACAAATCATTACAGAATTTTTTTTAACAAACATTTGGCCATCTGGGATGAATTTGCCAAATCCTTAAAGTCTTCCAACTGTTAAACTCCCATAATCTCCTAAATGCAAAGCCAGAGTCTCATGAGCACAGCAGCTGTATAGAATCTATGTATAAATCTACACTATCACTCTCAATAATACTGAACAAAAAATGCAGGAAATTTAATTGAGAACATGAAACAGCATTTATTAACTTTTGTGGCCTATTTCAAGGTGCAACAATATGCAATGGAAAACAATATAGGACGGTATTTGATTTGTAATGCATTAAGAATTGATTGGATTGCTAAAATCTATGCTATGATAGTAATGGTTAACATTATTTTTCCCCTCCCTTGTGACCTTATAGAGAAAATCAATTATGATAAAGAACTATGACAATATCAGTTGTGCACTCATGAACCATGCATAATACGACCAGAAACATTTATTGAGAAAGTAAACTACTGTTCAATATTTTTTTTGAAAGAAATTAATACTTTTAATCAGCAAGGATGCATTAAATTGATCAAAAGTGAGATGTTTGATTTATAATTGTGATATAAGTGTGATTTATAATTTTAAAACAGATTTTCTTTTTCAAATAAATGCTATTCTGTTGAATATATATATATATGTGTGTGTGTGTGTGTGTGTATGTATATATATTCTGACTGCTACTATGACAAGGTGTACTTAAGCACAACTCCATCTGTATTCTAATAAAAGCTTAATCCAGCTCATTAGTAGACTGCCACAACTCACAATGAACTACAAGCTTTACTGCCTTATTAAAAATGCCCGGGCATCCCTCCTTCAACACACACAGCTAAATCCTCACTTCTCCACGAGCCTGTGTAAACATCCTCCCCACTAATAAAGAGCCAAACGTGTTTATAAGAGTTGAGCGACTGTGCTCGGGAGCGCAAATCTGCTCTTTTAATATGAGCAACAGCAATAAATTCCAGCATTATCATAACCCGCCGTTTCCCTACATCACTGGGGCCAATTAGTCTGGAAATGACTACAAGTGCGAGAGAGACACCCTTAGTGGACCCAGCATTCCTGTCGGTCCACCTGATCCGTCCACAGGGCATGGCCTTCTCTCTGGACGTCATCCGAACTCCCTTCAAGTCTCCCCACAGCTCATGGCACATCTCCCACATCAGCCTTCTCAAAAGAGCCTTTTGTTTGGAAAAAAGAGGGTGGATTTCTGTAACACAGCTCCAAATCAGCCATTATCCATCTCTCCATATGGACAAGGGGGGGAATCTGGTGCCATATGGCGGGGAGGGTGAGGTATGTCACCTGGCCTGGTGTAAATGCAGACCTGGAGGCCCACATTCAAATTCTTCTTAAGATTTGTCTTTAAGAAATGTTTTTGTAAATATAAATCATTCTTAATTTTATTCTCAAGTGAGAAAATAAGAAGAAAATAGGATTTAGTAAGAATTTAATTCTTTTTTTTAATTTAAATATTTATTTTTGCCTTTATTATGATAGGACAGCAAGTTTACAGAAAGCAAAAACGTGTGGCTCAAGCCTGCCGTTCCATGTTTGTTTTCATTGCCCTGCTCAATTTGCAGTTGTGGTCTGGTGCTATTTTCATTAAGACCTTGTGGTTAAGCTCCACATTTGGGACAAATCGCTGTGGTGCTAGTGAATAAGCTATCTTTTCCATAGCGCGCTCTGGTGAAGAAACTCTGTCATACTCAGAACGGCTGACCTGACAGGTTAAAAGGTCACAGGTTCAGGGGTCACATGGATAGAGAGAAGTATTGTAAGCAGGGAGGTCAAATATGTGTGGATTTTGGCACGTCAGCGGCAAGCAAACAGAAACGCCACAGTCAAGTATCCACAAACCACGGCTTGCCCGCTCTAGGCTGTAGCTGGAATCTCTTTCAGAAATGCTGAACGGTACGGAATGTCTCAAATTTCATATTCATCACATCATATTTTAGGTCAGAACTTTTAGCTCACCAGGCAGATTCGGCCGATGCGTGACTGTGATTTGGGGCTCTGGCCCATCTCGGAAGACTTCTCGCGGAAGAAAAAGTAGAGTTTGTCATCGTTTTTTTCGTTGCTGTCAGGGATAAGGTGCACATGGACAAATGAGGGGTCTAAGAAAAAGAAAGAGACATGCAATGTCATTTTACATTTGCACAATTAAACATTTATCAGCCTTTTCATAGAAACATTTGTGAAACTATTAGGACTATTTAAGTAACCTGCTAAAATGAAGAAAAACAGCATCAAATAGCAAGAAAAGAAAAAAAAAAAACTTTTCTTGTGCATACGGGTGAATTGAGATAAATTGGCTCTTTTTTGATCATTAAATGAATGGTGGGTTAGGGTAAAAAAATAAATAAATAAAATAAATAAAAACTCCACCTATGTCAGCTTATTTATAAAAAAAAAAAAAACACTAATTTCAACTTATTTACCATTCAGCCATCTTGAGTTGTATTGGTCAGTACGCATGATTGTGTTTTTCCCCAAAGTTCGGAAAATAGCAGAGTCTGTCCCCATGAAATCAATATACACCCCTGCGTACAATTCTCCATCTAAGGTTTAGAAAAACAGATAAAAAGAGAAAGTCAGAATGTAAGTATCTGTGAATGTAAAAGAATGATACATTTGATTTATGAGCTTTTATTTTCCATAATGAAACATCTGCCACACCCATGATGATTGATTATTACCAGGAGATTCATCAAGGCACAGAAAATGAGCATTTAACTGATCAACTGTTCAACTTACAGAGACCATCAGTCAAGGTAAGTTTTTTTTTTCATAAGTATATATGATTTTTTCAATTTGATCAATAATTCTCAGATAAATTATTATTGTTAATGCTTAAATTATGTATATGTTAATAATTTGACACTAACACTGTACAATGATATACAGCTTGGCTTGATGGCATCTGCCAACTTACATTACACACTGCACAAGATTGATGCCCACTGGGTTTCACATGCGCTGGTTATTATGCATGTGCATGTGAGGGGTTATTATTGCCTCTGAAGGAATTTGTTCCTTGTTAAGTAGTGTGGAGGTCAAGTGTGTGTGTGTGTGTGTGTGTGTGTGTGAGTTTGAGTGTGAGTGTGCAGAACCCAGTTGCAGGCCATTTGAGCAGGTGTCTCAGCGTGTAGTTGGCAGAGGCCATGGCTGTTAAGGAGGGGCCAGGCGGAGCGCAGTCATGAGCCACTCATGATTAATTCCCTCTTGGAGGAATCCAGGACATAGGGCCTGCACGTTTTTGCCCACACTTGCTTCTGTGTACAGCGGGAGATACGAGTTCAGTCGGAGGGGTTTGTAGAGGAAGTGCCCTGGATGTAGAATGAGTTTGTTGACAGTCTATTCGCTCTGCCTGCGGCGGTTTTTCCGATGGCAGATCAAAATTGTTGATTCTTAGGGGACGTCTAGGTGCCAACCTGTCAGAACGCCTTGTAAATTCAACCAAACAACTGTAACATATGAGGTGGTAGTTAAATACAACCAGACAGGCAAGCACTAAAGCGTTCTTTCAACGAATAGCAAGCCAAATTGTTTGCAAAAGCTTCCTTGTCATGTTTGTTTGTGGCTTTTGAGGTCGCACTTCATGTAAGACTGTGATCAATTGTATTACTGGCTTAGTCAAGTGGTTTTGCTAAGCTGTGCTGATTAGATGGTTTAGCCGGTTGTTTTCCTAGTCAAGGGTTTTGCTGAATTACCTGCTGTGTAAGACCTGCTAAATTGGGGCTTTGTGCTGTTTTTTGGTCTTGGCTGATGACGTGCTAGTTTGGGGATTGTTTAAAAAAGGAAAAAGCTAATTAACAACAAATTTGACATACAACAATCAACAATCAACATACTGTAGATTTCCAAATCCTAACAAACTTATGGTTTTAAAATGTTTAAATGTTAAACCATCAAGCTTTTATTTTGCCAGAGTCGACAGTCAGTTCAGACGTGCTTATCATTACAAGTTTGGGAAGATGGTTGTGCATGTCGCATTTTTAATTTAACCCTCATCTGTCCCTCGGGTCATTTAGACCCAAAAAGTTTTTTCAAAAAAATTCTAAAAATCGTGTGTTGATCGTACCGGTCCAAGATTTCTTTACTTCGTTCACACTTGCACCGGGAATACACAAAACAAAATTTGAGTGGATTTGAGGAGTTTAAATGGGTGCAATAAAAAAAGTAACAAAAGTGTCCCTCGCGGTCATTTTGACCCGCATAGGAATGAATGGAATTTACGAGAAAACTGCATTTTTCATTACATGTGATTTTTTTTATATATACAAAATCTGAGACAATGCAGTAAAGATTTATACCCAAACGAAGGGCTGAGACTACAGAATATCCCCAATGCAGAAAAAACTCACATAAACACACACACACACACACACACACACACATGCACAAACACACACATGGTAGAACACATTGTAATATTGTTCATGTTTCTGCTGGGATATGACGGTCATTTTCCCATTTTTTTTTACTTAACACAGTTAGATTTGAGTGATGTGGTGGAGACCAATGAGTTTATATCATATTTATATTTTTAAAAATATATATTTATTTCATATTTATGAAATTGTATGAATATGCATATGTTTAGGTTATAATTTAGGTCAAATTTTATTTTTATTTTTTTACAAAATTTAGATTTTGTAATGTTTCAATATATATTTTAATCCATAAACAACCAAATCTCATTTCTCATGTTTCATTTGTTTTGCTCATTTAAAAATCTCCATAGGGTTCTATAGGCCCCTCTAGTGGCTCTAACCATAAAATGCAATTTTATGTAATTTTTCCC